CCTGCCCCATGGGAACAAATGCCTGAAAAGACACTTGACACAGGACCCGGCAAGCAGAAGACCTTGACAGATACTCTCGAATAAGAATAATAAATAACACCGAGCAAGTCGAAGGGGCTTGAGGCCCGGAAGTGGCAAGGTCAGGGCTGTGTTTTAGAAAGTCTGGGCTGGAGGAGGAGGTAGCCTTGGGGAGAATCGAAAGGTCGGGCCCTTCTGGAGGTATTTCTCTGAAGTCTGTGGGAAGTTTGTAGTGTCAGGTTAAGGATCTGATTGGTTCCATGTTTGGTTTTGATCCGGCTGCTTCCTTGAGTGCTCTGGCTTTAGATAATCAGGTCTAAGCAGGAGGATGGTGAGGCCTGCTGTCCATTCAAGTGGGGTGAGAGGGTCCAAAGCAGCTTCAACGTGGATCTGGGCACTGAGATCAACTGATGGGGAAAGGCAATCAGAAAAGCAATACATTACATACGGCATGGATTTGGGGGAAGGGCTAGGGTGACGGGGTCAGACTCAGGTCTCCTGTCCCAGGGCTGTGGGTCTCTTGGCCCATTCTTTGGGGGACAGTGAGCGTGGGGCTTCTCGCCATACTCAGCCCTTCTTCCACGCGGCATGGTTCAAGGCGTCTACTCAGGAAGACACCCTTGGCCCGTGGCTCACTCAAAGGTCCAGGACCAGATGAGACAGGAAAATGGCCACAACAATAAGATCCGCACTGTGTTCTTACCACACACCAAGCTCTTCCTCAAATGTCCCGACCCTTGGATGAGACGGAGAAAGAGACTGAAGGTCAGGGAGCCATTGCTTGGCTGAGACCTCATGTTGGCTTAGAACTGCCTTCTGGAAAAAGGCTTCATTCAGACACAATAGAACGAGTGACCCTCCCCCTTCCAGCTCTCCGCTGCTAGCCTGCTGTGTGACCACAGGTGAGAGGTTTGCCCTCACGTGTGTGTTGGGAATCCCACTGACTCGCGGCTGTCTTTAGCTCCGCACATAGTAGGTACTCCATGGAGGCCGGAGCCCTCTTCCCAGGGTTTCCCTGTCTGGCGTGATAATCTCCATGGAATCCACGCTGTGAAAATAAACATGAACTCAAGTGGCCCCAGTCTCCGTGGCAGCCAAAGGGAAGCTAGGTCCCCAGCCCATGTCTGTTTGAGACAAGAACAAACGTTTCCCTGTGAGCTTGACTCCCCCCATTCGCTTCTGAGGCCAGCTGGTATGGGGGTGGGGCGGGGGGCCAGGCCCAAAACAGTGAGCTCAGCTGCCAATCAAACCCAAGCCTGCCTCCCGGCCTCCCTTCCCCCTCCCTCCCTCCTAACCTCTCTTTCTCCAGTCCCATCTCAGCACCCAGACAGGTAAACAGCCTGCAGGGAACAGCTGGCTCTGGCGGAGTGTCTGGGAAGGCTCCCATGGTGGCTCCCGGTGGGACTGTCACCTCACCCACTTCACCCACTGCCTAGAGCTCTCGAAACTGACGGAAAATGGGACATCCCCGAAGGACACACCAAAACTCTCACGACTCGGTGTCTAAGAGGGATAAATTCAAATTTTGAGTCTATCATAACTAAGAAATCTTGGGAGTGTAGGGGCTCCCCTGAGCCCTGTCCCGCCTCTGTCATGGCATGGACTGTGGGATAGGGGCGGTGACACCCCAAGTAAGCACAATGCCCCTGGCCAGCTGCTCTTTGGATTCATTAGAATGGTGGAGAAGGGGCAGATGCCAGGCAGGGCAAAGTGAGCCAGCACTCTTGTGGCAGCCTGGGAGCCAGGGAGGTGGTGAGAGCAGGGATTGTGGGAAGGGTGGTGACCCTGAGAATCTTCCCCAGGAGTAACCATGAGTCACACCAAGCCAGGGATGAAGAGCAGAGGGACGGCTGAGTGGCAGTGGACACAGGTCTGCTGAGGAGGAGGAGGAGGAAGAGCCCAGCCCCCCCTAAGGTGCTAATAATCCTGGCAGGGCCCCCACAACCAAACCTAAGTGTGAGGAGTGAAGGAAGCCCACAGGCGGAGCAGGAACGGGACCTGGTAAAGCAGCAGCGGGACCCCAGCCTGCATCTCTTTTCCCACCCCAGGGGCCTTTGGTGGTGAACTGTGCCCCAAAGATACAATGGCAGAATGAGACAGAGGAGTGCCCAATGGCAAATGTGACTGAGCCCTCAGCACCCCGTTCATGCTGTTCTGCTGGCAGGAACTGGGAATTCAATTGGTTTTCTTATTTCGCCCTTACCTTTCGCAATCTTACTAAAGCTAGTGATTAGTTTGCTTGCTTGGTTGGATTGAGACAGTGTCTTGTTTAGCCCATGCTGGCCTTGAACTCATTACGTGCAGAAGATGACCTTGAACTCCTGATCCTCCTGCAGCTTTTCCCAAGCACTGAGCTCACCAGTAGCTGTCCTAGGCCTGGCTCCTCACCTCTTGTAAGTTTCCTTGTGGGTTGCATTGGATTTTCCAATCAGTTGGTTATGTCATCTACAACTAAATGCAACTGTACTTTTAAAAACATGCATTCACTTATTTATTTTGTGTGACCATGTCTCTGTGCATGTGTGTGTGTGTGTGAGCAGGCATGCCTTGGCATGTGTATAGAGGCCAGAGGACGACTTGCATGACTCAGTTTTTTTCCACTATGTAGGTCCCAAGCATCGAACTCACGTCACCAGGCTTAGCAGCAAGCACCTTTAAATACAGAGCTATTTGCTGGCTTCATACTTTCTTTTTTCTTTCAAAACAAAACAGCCACCAAGACTCATCTGGGGTGTGGACACAGTCCCCACAGAACCTCAGAGCCAGCGTTGTAGCCTGTTGACCACACTGGCCCCCTGCTGCATGTCATAGGTCATGACATAGGAGCTGAGAAGGTGATGAATGTGGGAACGAGAATCATGGAGCCAGCCTCTCTCCCTGAGGATGGAGACATGGAAAGCCAAAAAGCAGACTTTTCAATATTCAATTCACAGTAGATTTTGTTATTTTTTTATGTTTTATTTATTTGCAGGGGACATGCATGTATCTCACTGCATATATGGAGTCAGAGGACAACTCGTGGGAATCTGCTCTCTCCTTCCAAGTGGATCCCAGGGTTTGAACACCGATCCTCTGGCTTAGCAGCAACCTTTTCATCCACTGATCCATCTTACCAATATTTTTTCCTTTTTTAGTCATGTGTGCGTGTGTTTAGTGGGTGTGTGCACCTGTTCATATGTACATGTGTACATACAAGTCCATGTGCATGTGTGTGCATATTTGGAAGGCGGAGGTCAACACTGGATATAGTCCTCTATATCTCTCCACTTTATTTTTTTTTTAAGATTTTTTTATTATGTGCACAGTGTTCAGCCTCCATGTACTCCTGCAGGCCAGAAGAGGGCACCAGATCTCATTACAGATGGTTGTGAGCCACCATGTAGTTGCTGGGAATTGAATTCTGGAAGAGCATCCAGTGCTCTTAACCTCTGAGCCATCTCTCCAGCCCTCTATTTTTTGAGACCAAGTTTTTCAATGAACTTGAAGTGTTCACACTGGGGAAGTGGAGGCAGGAAAATCAGAAGCTAGAATCACCCTGGGCTACACACGACCCTTCTTTTTAAACAGTGCAGATCAGCCAATGGCTACCTGATACAGAATCCCATGTGTATAGTTTGTACAAGTGCGTCTAAATATCCAGCAAGAGACTTGCCTCATGGCTACTTTGAAGGACTGCAGATATCTTCAAGGCATGCTTGATTCTTGCGTTTGAAGGTTATTTATTTGGGGGACACACACTCATATTTCCACATGACTGTAGAGGTCAGAGGGTGGCCTACAAGCCTCAGTTCTTTCCTTCTGCCATGTGTGCTCCCGAAATTGAACTCATGTCCTCAACCTCAACAGCAAGCTCCTTTAGCTGCTAAGCCATCTCGCTAGCCAAGTTTGATTTGTGGCACTATGATTTCATTTTGGCACACACACACACACACACACACACACACACACATGAACAAATTTATGTACATCGAAAAATGTCTGAAAGATAAATATTTCAAAATATTTACCTAGGCTTAAAAGGTGCGATTTTAAAATGCCCATTTTCCAATCTATTTAATCTTTATTTAAACTCATAAAAATATAAATAACTTCCATTTATTAAGCACTTGCTGGGTGCCAAACATCACACAAAAAGTTTTATGTTGCCTTGGTGGAGTTTACAGCAGTTCACAGATACATGTACTGGAGCTTGGAGACATCGAATCTAAAACTGAACTCTGAAATGCTTCAAAATCCACAGCTTGGGACTGAGAATGCCACCCACCAAAACATGAGTGGGGGTTCCAGAGAACGACTGTAAACACAGTTCTCCAAATCCACCTTGCTGTGGGTCCCAGGGATCAAACTTGGTCGCTAGGCTTGTGTGACAAGTGCCATCCTCCTGAACCATCCCTATGCAGTTTCCCGAGTCCAACCAGACTGAATACTCAACCGAATCCCGGTTAAGCAAAGAAGAAGAGGAACCCCAAGAGCATCCATGAAAACCTACTCACAGCGTCCGCTGGGGCTCGGGACTGCCATCTGCGGGAGGTTTCTCCTGGCCTCACCTCCTGGGGGTGGCATCATTCTCAGACAACCAATCCCTCTTGGGAGCCAGGTGTCCCTGAAGCAATTGCACCCAAAACTGCCAAGTCATGGCAAAGAGGCACTTCAAGCAAAGACCTGGAGCATCACCCTGTAAGCTTGGCTCGGGCCACTGACCACACTGACCATCGGGGTCACTCTCCATGCCACAGTGATGGATTGATTCATTTTGATTGGCTTAAACCTGGATCACATGGTCTATGGGGGAGTCAGAGGATGAAGTCGTTCTAAAGAAAGACAAAGTTGGGGTGGTGGCTATGGAATGGCGTAATATAATCATGAATTCCTGTTAACGAACTGTGGTAGACTGGGGGTATATGGCTTGATCCCAAGGGTGCTTGTTTAGGACCCTGGGTTCCATCGTACCGCCACATGAAGCAGGCATAACTATCCTTACTCAGAGTCCCAGAACTTGGGTAGTGGAGACAGGAGGATCAGGAATCCCAAGTCATTCTAAAATAGATAGAGAATTTGAGGTCAGTTCAGGCTACATCAGACCCTGTAGGAAAAAAAAAAAATTATTTGCGTTTTGGGTTTCTTTAAGACAAGGTTTTTCTGTGTAGCTCTGGCTATCCTAGAACTCACTCTGTAGACCAGACTGGCCTTGAATTTAGTAATCCTCCTGCCCTCAGAGATCTACCTGTCTCTGAAGAGATTCCTGGGGGTTGGGATTAAAGGTGTGCATCACTAAACAAAATTAATAAATAAAAAAATAAAACTTTTATAGAGGTAGATGAAGTTGTCTAAGCTGTGGCAGGGGGTCATACCATGCCAAATATACTCCGACTGGTACTTCCAGCCCAAAGCTAGGTGGCCGTCACCCAGCAGTTCCCTAAGGCCTGGACTAGCCTTCCACCAAGACAAAATGACAACAGCAGTGACGCTAGAGAATAAAATAACTATTTGCCATTTGGTGGTGGAGGCGTGGAGCACACCTTCAATCCCAGCACTCAGAGGCAGGCAGATCTCTGTGAGTTCGAGGCCAGCCTGGTCTACAGAGAGAGTTCCAGGACAGCTAGGGCTACACAGAGAAACCCTGTCTCAAAAATAAAATAAAAAAATTAAAAAAAAAACACGTAACCATTTGAAAGAATGCCTATTTATTGGTAGCTTATGAAGCAATCAGGAGCTGAGTTCCAGGGCCTCTCCCTGCCTGGGAATGGGTCCACTCACACCCTGCACTGCTGAAGTAGAAAGCCAAGGTCAAAGGGACGACCCAGTCTGCGGTGCTGAGGGCAACAGTCCTACTGGCCTGAGTGCTAATAACACTCTCTACAGCCTGCAGGGCCCAGAACTGTAGACAGCCAATGTGCTGGGACAGAACACCCAGGGCAGAAGAGACCAAGGCAGGCAGGTGCCTCTGGATACCGTCCTTGCTGCATTTCCCCGGCATTGGTGGGAAAGGTTACGCAATCAGCTGGGAAACTGTGTGCGGCCTCCCAGCCTGCTAGATAGTCCTCTTCCTGTAACTGCAGCCTTCATCTCCCCTTGATAATTATTTTATGTGGTAAAGGATGTCATCACTATGAAAATAAATCCAAGCCCTAAGTAGATGGTGAGGCGTAAAGGGATGTTCGGGGAGGAAAACCGTCCTGGCGGACTATGAACAGCGGTTTTCTAAAGTGCAAACAGCACTGTGTATTCATGCATAAACATATGTACATAGATGTGCGCATGTAAAGATTCTAACGGTTTATAAGAGGCTATCTTTATATGGGGCCAACTGCGGATGTAAGCTAACATCGTGGTTAATTTTATTATCTCGTTTACTGCACTTTCCAGGAAGTCTTTACTGAAGTCCGTTATCTTTATAATTTAAAGATTTTTTAATTTTGTACCAGAGTTTCTCAGTCCAAGAGGCTGAGGCTGTCTGTAATGACCGCAGGCTTTGTTTTCCTTTTCTCTTTCATTCAACAAACTTACACTGATGTCTGCTGCACCGAGCACTGTTCGGGGTGCCGGGAAGGGTTCCTGGTGCCGTGGACGGACAGACAGACAGTCCGACATTACAATCAGGTACAAGAGAAGCATGACTGGCCCCACTTAACATTAAACCCGTGCGAACAGGCCATGCTCCTGTCTTCTCTGTACCTGAGAGCCCAGGGTGGGATCAGGAAAAAGGCTAGACACTCAAGTGACACACTAAGGACCGAGTCCCGGGATAGATGCCAGCATCCTGTCCTGGAAAAGGCGAGATGGGTCCCTTGCATGGGGTGGTGTGAGGGCTCGATGAGCATGCTGAGCACCCTTCTTAGAGTGTCCGGGGAGTGGACTGGACTGGCAGCAACGGGCAGAGATGGCTGGAGGCAGATAGGAGGGCTGTGAGGATGGGCAAAGCCTGACTTGACTTGAAAATCAAGCACACATTTTATGTACCATAAAGTTACTAAATATTAAATATTTGAAAAGAATTTCAAAGTATCAAAAGGGAAACAAAAGAAGAAGAAGGAGCTAGCATTGTGTCAAGTTGGTGATGTGGTCCCACAGTCAAAGTGTGAAAATCTAAACTACATGTCACTACGATGTCCCCAGAAGGCAAAGAAAAACAAACACATAAGGGCTGGAGAGATGGCTCAGTGGTTAAGAGCATTGCCTGCTCTTCCAAAGGTCCTGAGTTCAATTCCCGGCAACTACATGGTGGCTCACAACCATCTGTAATGAAGTCTGGTGCCCTCTTCTGGCCTGCAGGCATACACACAGACAGAATATTGTATACATAATAAATAAATATTTTAAAAAAACAAACAAACATATAAACTTCCCTGAAAAAAGTCTAATCTTATTGGTGTGACTTAAATTCATGGTGGTAGGAGGTGGCGGCTCACATCTGTAACCCCAGCACTCCTGAGGCTGAGGTGGAAGGATTGCTGGGAATTTTAGACTAGCCTGGGCTACACAGTAAATCCTGTCTGGAAAGAAAAGATATGGGGTTAGACTGTGGCTCAGCTGAGAGTTCTGCCACCGCGCACCAAGGCCTGGGTCCCACCCAGCACCGGTACCACATAAACCCAGTGTGGTAATGCTTGCCTGTAACCCACAGTTCTGAAGGTGGAGACAGGAGGATCAGGAATTCGGGTTATTCTCATCTATATATGGTTGGAGGCACCTGGGCTACATGAACCTCTAACTTAAAACAAAACCAAACAACCCACTACAGTCCAGAATTTAGGTTAGAAACATTAATATCAACTTAATTAAAAAAAAACTGCCAGGCAGTGGCACACGCCTTTAATCCCAACAGTTGGGAGGCAGAGGCAGGAGGATCTCTGTGAGTTCGAGGCCAACCTGGTCTACAGAGCTAGTTCCAGGACAGCCAGGGCTGCTATACAGAGAAACTCTATCTTGAAAAAACAAAACAAAACAAAAAGCAAACAAACAAGCAAGCAAGCAAACAACAACTTTATTTTCAGCAGTGTTTGATACAAACCTTGAGCACATGTGCAGAGTGTCTGTGCGCCCTGCACTGGTTGGCGCCATTTGCTGTGATTTCTAAGCTAACATCAGTGCATCCCAGCTACAGCTCGTCTCTGTCAGCTCCTTCTTCCCGGTGGGCAGCCTGTGGCGGGTGTGTGACATGAGTCCACAGCTATGTACTAACAGACACAGAAAGAGGTTAAAATATTAATAATAAACAGAAAAGTTATGGCCTGGGGGCATAGCTCTATTGGTATCGGGCTTACCTAGCATTCATAAAGCCCCGGGATTGATCTCTAATGCTGAAAAAAAAGGGGGGGGGGGCGTGGTTACACAGGCCTGCAATTTCTACAGTTGGGAAGTAAAGGCAGAAGGCTCAAGGTCATCCTGGACCACATAGGAAGTTCAAGTGTGAGGCCCTATCTCAAAATAATAAATAATAAATAAATTAAATGGGGGCTAAGGAAATAGCTCTGTCAGTGAAGGCATGAATTTGATACACAGAACCCACATGGGATGGGGGGGGGGCAGTGAGGGATGATTGCCTTTTAATCCCAGGATTGGGGAAATGAAAACTGATAGACCCCGGGTTCATCTTACATAATTGGTGAGCCCCAGGTCCCAGTAAGAAACCTTGGCTTAAAAATAAGGCAGAAGGACTACCGATGAGGTGGTTCAGCAAGCCAAAGCTATCACCACACAAGCAAGGGGATCTGCAGTACATCCTGGTAACCCACATAAGAGAAGGAGACCAGCTCCACATGCCAAGGGGCACACACTCCATCCAACACACACATGCACTTACTAAACCAATCTATCAAGCCACCAATAATAAAGTAGGAAAACAGCTGACGTCAGCCTCTGGCCTCGAGACGCGCTTACCGGTGAGCACACCCACACACATCACACACGCATATGCTACCCGCTTCCTACCAATAAATCATCTAATAAGTAAGCAGATAAATAGCACTTTAAAAATAAAAATAGACAGCCAAGCAGTGGTGGCGCACTCCTTTCATCCCAGCACTCGGGGGACAGAGACAGGTGGATCTCTGTGAGTTCGAGGCCAGCACAGGTTCCAAAAACTACAGAGAAAACCTGTCTCAAACAAACAAACAAACAAAAATAGACAAGCCAAAAAAATGAAAGCACTTGCAATACCCCAGAAGTTCCTGTGATGACCAAGATGGTAACCAAGTGACCACCAGGTGGGTCACAGCATGGACACGCTGATCCATACCCCAGAGGGGCAAGGTGGAGCAATTGGAGATTTTATCCTGCTGTTAGCTGTGAAGCACCACAGGGAATTTTCCATTTGATACGTTTAGATCACTATTGACCCTGGATAACTGAAACTGGGGAGTACACTGTAGACAGAGATCACTCTGATTACCAGAGAGACAAGCAGAGTCATTTCACTGAACTAAAACCCCTGTGCTCCACTAGAGAGGTGAAATACGCTCTCTCTCCTCCCAACACCTGTCCATCACCCACCTTTCTACGGTCTCCTTAGCTTCATCTTATTCACAATGCTATGTAATTAGAATCAGACATACGGGCTTCCTTCATATAGCAATACGCACTTAAGGGTAAACACCTAAGTAATGTCCACTGAATGGACCTACCCGTCTGCTAAACCATTCTCCTAGTAAACATGTGGGTTGATTCCAAGATCTGGCATTCATGCCCCACTCCAAGTGGGGTGGGGGTAATGTATTTCCTAGCTCATCCACAGGAAATGCCCAGAAACAATGACCAGTCCAATAGGAATGCATATTACTTAAATCTAGATTGTGGTCTCTAAGCATGATCCCTGCAAAGAAATTGGGGCTCCTTAATAATGATTCCAGATGTGTAGCAGCACATTTTCAAGGTCCATCTGGAGCACCCCAATCTTCCAGAATGCAAAGGGGTCTCGAGAGCCTCCTGGGGTCACAGGTTTCAGGGGTCAAAGGAAAGAATGGGGCATGAATCGGAATTTGGGGGGTTGCAGTGCATTAAATCGCTATAGTCACGAGGATAGTAGAGAAATAGCCTCTGGGCCAGTGAGATGGCTCAGTAGTAAAGGCCTTGCCTCCAAGCCTGACAAGACGAGCTCAGTTCCCACAGCCCACCTGTGTACTGTGGCATGTGTGTATCATATGCTCACATACAGGTATACAAAATAAATAAACAAACAAATGAGGGTAAAAATAATTTTAAGGTAGCGCCAGTCTGGGTGTGTAGCTCAGCAGTAGAACACCTGCCTAGCACACCCAAGACCCTGTTTTCTATCCCCCAGTACTGAAAACAAAAGTAAAAATTGTCTGGGCGTGCAACTCAGTTACTGAATGCTTGCTTAGCAAGCACAAGGCCCTGGATTCAAGCCTCAGGATGGCATAAGTCAGGCACAGTGGTCACACCAGCAATATCAGCACTTGGGAGGTGAAGGCAGGAGAATAGGAAGTTCAAGGTCATTCTTGAATACCTAAGATATTCCAGATCAGCTGGGTTACAGGACATCCTGGGAAAGAAAGAAAAGAAGAAAAGAAAGGAAGGAAGGGAGGGAAGGAGGGAGGGAGGGAGGGAGGGAGGGAAAAAAGGAGAGATGAAGGGAGGGAGGGAGAGGGAGGGAGGGAGGGAGGGGGAAGGAGGGAGAGAGGGAGGGAGAGGGAGGGAGGGAAGGAAAGGGAAGGAGAGAGAGAGGGAAGGAGAGGGAAGGAAAGGGAGGGAGGGAGGGCATGAGGGAGGGAGGGACGATTTGAGAACTAGTAAAGGGCCAGAGCTGCCAGGCCCAGTGGCCATACCTGTATTGTCCTCTTTGGGGAGGCTAAGTCAGGAGGGCTATAATGAGCCCCAGTCAGCCTAGGCAGCTTCCCATGACTATTTCAAAATAAAATTTAAAAGGCAAAAAGATAAAAATAAAAAAGGACAGGAGCTAAGGGTGTGGTTTAGGAGTAAAGTACTTACCCGACATGAGTGAAGTTCTGAGTTCTATTCCTAGTGTTAAAAAATAACAGCCAAGAGCCAAGTAAGTTCTCACTATCTCTCGCATACTCTAAAGGGGATCATATGGTACTTGGTTCAGCTAAAGAGACACTGCCGTCCTCACAGATCCCAGCTAACAGACGAAGAAGGAAACTGGCCACAGAACAGCATCCTTCTGCAAGTCATGTTACAGCGATGCATCTAGATGATGAACACCAATGATCGCTAACACACACACACACACACACACACACACACACACACACAGATGCCGCATCACCGTGTGGACTCCTGGCAGGAGGACACCACACCCCCCTTGAGGCAGGCTGCCAAAAATTGAACCTGCATCTGAGCGAGTCTCCAGATCTAATTATAGGAATTACAGAGGACAGAGGAACATGTTTAAGGATCCCACAGGAATACAGGCAGCGGGCTCCAGACCTGAATCAAGGCTGAAGAACAGTGGTAAGGGCTGGGGAGCCAGGCAGGTCAAAAAGGAGCCTGACACAGCTTCAGAGACCGGGGAAATGGCTCGTGGTCCTTCTTGTAAGAAGGGCAAGCATAAGATGTCCCGGGTCTGAAACAATCACTGGGTAAGTTTGGGTAATAAATTCTCCAGACTGTGTTCATTATTTTCAATTGTCAAATTGATTGGCTTAACAAATATCTGGGCCCAGCACTGGGGGTGTCTGTGACAGCGCATTCATTCCCAGAGGACTGGCTGAAGAGAGAGGATCCACCCTGAAGATGAGTGTCGCCATCCCAGGGGCTGAGGTCCCAGACTTAATAAAAAGGGAGGGGAGGAGAAAGCCAGCTGAGCCCCAGCCACCTGGATCTGCTGCCACCATGCTTCTTCGCCCACCACGATGAATGGCACCCTTAAACTGTGAACGAAATTAACTTTCTTTTCTTACATTGCCTTTGTCTGGCCTTTGGACACCACAACCACAGCAGAAAACTAACTGGTACAGTGAATGGTATTAGCACAATTTTAAAGGGGGAGGAGACTTCAATCCCTAGGACCCACGTGGTGGATGGAGAGAAGCAATGTCACAAGCTGTCCTGTACCTCTATGTGTGGTCCACGGTAAATAGGCACCCTTCACCACCCCCACACCCCCACACACAAAGCAATCAATAAATATAGTTTGTTTTTTTTTTTTAAAAAGATCCCCTTTCTTGGGCTGTTGAGATGGCTCAGAGTTAAGAGTACTTACTGCAGTTGCAGAGGACATGAGTTCAATGCCCAGCCCCCACATAGCAGTTCACAGGGGATCTGACGCCCTCTTCTGGCCTTTGTGGGTACTGTACACATGTGATGCATTTAGCACACACAGAAACAAAACACTCATCGACATAAATTTCAAAAATAAGTAAAAGCGCCGGGCGGTGGTGGCGCACGCCTTTAATCCCAGCACTTGGGAGGCAGAGGCAGGCGGATCTCCGTGAGTTCGAGACCAGCCTGGTCTACAAGAGCTAGTTCCAGGACAGGCTCCAAAACCACAGAGAAACCCTGTCTCGAACAACCAAAAAAAAAAAAATTAGTAAAAGAAAAAGATAAAATGGTTCTCTTTCTTTTAGAAATATATACCAAGTTGAGTATGTTGGTATCCCCACCTCTCCCTGTACTTCTAGCACTTAGGAGGTTGACACAGGAGGATTGCAATAGGTTTGAGACCAGCCTAGGCTATATGGTGAGCTCAAGAAAACCCAGTATCAAGAATATTTTTCACATACTCCAATAGTGATGCTTGATACAATATAGAGTTTAGAATCTGCTGAAATAATCCAAAGGAATAATAAAATAAAGATATTTTGTTTTTGAATGGACGAGTGAGATGTTTCAGCAGGAAAGGCACTTTCCATACAAGCCTGGTTTGGTCTGTGACGCCCACATAAAGGTAAAAGGAGAGAGCTGACTTCATAGGCTTCCTCTGACCTCAACACGAATACCCACATGTATGTATCAAGCATATGCAGCATGCAAAGGATAAACAAGCTTTTAAAATGCTAAGTAATCCATTGGCAATGTGAAAGGGGTTGGGAAAGTGCTTGTCTAGCATAGATGAGGCCCCAGGTTGGATCCACACTAAATAAATAAATTAATAATTGTAAATCCACTGGGATGGAGAAACTGAAGTGTGATAAAAATGAAAGAAGATTGCATGTGTGTTGTAATAACTGAACCTCGGTAATGGGAATATTATTCTACT